GCCCTCCCCTCCCCCGAAAACACCGCCCTTAGCCCCCCAAAACCCGATCTCCCTCGACCCTTAGCTCCGCAAAACCCAATCTCCTTTGACCCCGAGCAAAACCCGATCTCCCTCGGTGACATACTTGACGGAAACGAATTACAAAGGAACAAAAAATGGATGAGATCGGAATCGACTTTTGTTGCTATTAGCATTGTTCCTGCCGTTGAACCCACCAAATCTCCTCCACCCAATGCCGCCCAGCCACCTTTGTAATGGTGGGAGGGTTGGGCGGCGGTTTTCGGGGTCGAGGGAGATCGGGGCGGTGTTTTGCGGGGTGGGAGCGATGGTAAACAGCAGCAGAAGAAGAAGCAGCGATGGTAAACAACGATCGGGTTTTGCGGGGCTAGGGGTGGTGTTTTCGGGGGAGGGGACGGCGGCAGTGGTCAGGGTAGGTTTTTCGGTGGTGTTGGGGTGGTGATGTGGTGGTGTGAAGGTGGTTGGACTGGTGGCCTTTAATTCATTCCATTCCTTTGTTATTTAAAACAAACAACACCCCAAAATTAGGGGATTTACATTCCATTCCTTGTCTCTCCCTTTGTTCATTCCATTTCGATTCCCCCGTGCGAACCAAACGACCCCTTATTATTTTAAGCCAATGGGGAGGCCAAGGCCCCCGCCAGCCCCCCCTTGGCTCAGCCCCTGAAAGTATAGACCTTATAATTAGCTAACATACCTAGTCACATATTGTATCTAGTCATAATTTTGTATGTTCAATGTTCCAACATTCTCTTTTCTCATAACTCGTATCATGAGCTTTTGATCCATCTTTTCTTGCTTCCGCTACTACCATGGTTACACTATCAAAACCTTTTGTTGACGCCGACAAATGATGGTGACCATATCAAACTTTCTTCTCGGAATGCTTCAAACCAAAATCACACTTTTCACTCAACTCTTTTGGCACCTCGTATTCAATATACCAAGAGATGCCATTGATATATTTTTTTCTCCAAACCCCTTACACGGAGAAACAAACCTTTTTCGATATCCTATAGTTTACCTACCATGTGTTACCATATACGAAATTCTCTCCAAAACCATTATGGAGAAACATAACATTCTGTTCTAAACCACCATCACCACCATTAATATTTTCTATCACGCCTTCAATGGCGGTAAAGGAACCTTTATATTTTTTTCCCTCCCATTTGATGCAAGCATACGCTAGCAAATTTTTATTTTTTTGTAAATATTTACAATCAATGGTCATGAGTTTAAAAACTATGAAAAACACCCATTATACAACTTCTTATTCTCTCTCTATATACTATCTTTTTACTTCTTCACGCAACTCCTCCATCCAAAAAAAACCAAAAAAGCTCCTTTAATACACTTCCTTTTCTTTTTCTAAAAAAACCTTCTAATGCTCCACTCCCTCCAAACCTTATTGGAGAATCGCAATGCAATGCAACCTTTCTCACCACCACTTCAATTCTTATATTGAACAAGATTTGAGATGTTATATCCAAGATCGGCTTCTCGTTCCGAACGTCCGTCTTGCAGGGGCGTATAAAGGATAAAGATGATTATTTATCATTATTTGTTATTGTTTAGAATATGTAAATCCCTTGATTTATTCTTTAATTTTGATAGTCAAAATATATCCCTTATAATTAGCTAACGTACCAAGTCACATATTGTATCTAGTCATAGTTTGGTATGTTCAATGTTCTAATCTTGTACTATATATACTTGTGTATCTTCATCAATATAATTAAGATTTCCAACATTCTCTTTCTCATAACACTATCATAGTTCACTTCAGTTCCTAAGTTCCTTCTATCATAAACAATTCATTTCAGCTTTATTCAACTCAATTCAGTTCTGTTCAATCCATTTCAATAAAACAGAATAGACCATAAGAAAGTGTTTGAAGGGCATGTAGATAATATTTTTTTTTTTTGTAAAAAACTACTCCCTCCGATCCGCCCCTTAATACAAAGCCTTTTTTTAGCATTTATTACTCACACAATAAAGAGAAAGAGGCTTTGTATTAAGGGACGGAGGGAGTACCTTATATACATTTGATTTTGTGAAAAAACTACCTTATAAAATTTTTGTAGAAACTACCTTATAAAAACTAAATGTTGTAAGTTGCTACCATGTGCTTGGTTTAATTAACAATGAAAGAGAAGGGAAATTAGGGGTTATAATGGGGCTATGGAGAAATTCGGTGGGAAAAGGAGAAAAATATTGAAAACGGGTCATTAAACGTCCTTATTCAATACAATAATCCGGTAAAAGGTAGCTTCTTACAACATTAAGTGTTCTATAAGGTAATTTCTTACAACATCGGTCGTTTGGTTGGATAATTTGAAATGGGTTGGAATTGACTTAGAATATATTTTATCTAGCTTTTTGTTTGGTTGAGGTTTTTGGTAATGGAATCTCATTCCCTAGGGGTTCTAAACTTCTAACTCCCCTCCATACCCATGGAATCTCATACCCCCCCTAAGATTCACATTCTATTCTTTTAATGAAGGATAGAATTCATTCCAACTATTAAACCAAACAACTTTGGACTAGTTTGAGTTTTATAGTTCATACCTTTATAGTATGAGATTCCATTCCAACTTGATGAACCAAACACCCTATAATAATATACAATATTAAAAAAATTTAAAGATATAACTTTTTTTTGAGGAATTTTAAAGATATAATTTAATATAATAATAATATTCCTTACAATATCAACTCAAAGTGCATCCATGTATAATTAGAGCTTAAAATTTCGAAATATAAAAAATATTATTATAGCTTTTGGTGCAGTAATTACTAAATACGTACCATCCGATTATAAGTAGCATTGACACTTCATTCTCATCTATTTAACCCTTATACAAACAACCAAACACCTTAAACCTTGAATTATAATAAAGATAATATAACACTTATATTAATATTGGTCTCCATACATCAACGCATGTATCGCATGCATAAATTACTAGTTACGGAGTACATAACTTACAAGTTACATTCATATTACTGCACCAATTTTGCCAAAATTATCAATTAAGTTCTTTTTAAAAACCTACCACAAAACAAAAACACAACAAGTTTGAGTAGAAACTAACACTCTTGATTTCTCATTAATTAAGAATCTCCAGTTGGTGGAGTCTATAATTCTAAATTTCTAATCTACAATGGTTGTAAATGGATAAAACAAAGCCATTGGGAAAGGAAATAGCAAAGCGGTAAAAAACACAAGTAGAGTAATTTTAAAATTATCCATGCACTTGTACCGTTACAAACAACCAACCCATGTTACTTTTGGACTTGCTAGTTGCTACTATACAGCTGTCTTCTTTCTCCGTTTTTCCTACAAGAGATATAAATGAAGAAAGAGAAACAAAAATAAAATAGAAAAATAAAAAATTACTGAGTAATAAATAAATACGAACATACAAAAAAAAAATAGGAAAATGTTATATATAACCCTTAGGGCTACATATAAGCATTACATTTACACTTGAAAATCGTAAAAAGTGAAGAAATCATTAAAAATATAAACACTAATTACACTGATTTACGCGTGTTTTTGTCATGAATTCCTAATTTTATACAATTTTCAAGAGTGTATTTAATGTTTATATATAGCCCTTAGGGCTACATATAACATTACCCAAAAAAATAATACGGAGTAATAAATAAATAAGCAAACAAAAAAAAAATGAAGTACGGAGTAATAAATAAATAGAATCATACAAAAAAAAAGGAAAAATACGAAGTAATAAATAAACAAGCATACAAAAAAATAATACGGAGTAATAAATAAATACAAGCATCCCCCAAGGTCCTCAACTACGCTTTCTCCAATACTCCGTATTAAAATGTTAAGCTAAGCTTGGCCTAATAGAAAAGATTGCACCTTTTAATTTTGAAGTTGGGGGTTCAATCCCCACAAGACACACTTTGAGGGTGAGAATCCCTTACCTTTCTCCCCCTCACTCTCAAAGTATCTGACCCACAAATACTGAACCAAAAAACCCATGAAGGGTTAAGGTTCGGTCAGGATTCTTAACTTCTCCTTACTGAGAAAAAAAAAAATATACTTCGTATTAAAATTAAAACCTTCCTCACTTTACCATTTTCTTACTTATCCATTTGACTATTTTAATATTATCTCACGAGTTATACTACCTCCTTTAACTATTATTTAATTATTAGATCAGACTTAATTACGAAGTACTACCTCCGTTAACTATTATTTAATTTACAATAAAGGAATATTTTATATCTCACAAATAATACCCCTTTGTTGTAAATAATAGTTAATGGAGGTAGTATTTTGTAATTAAAAATGGTTTTATAAATACATATAAATTTTTTTGAAAAAATCAATGGTTAAACTTGTGTGTCTCGACTAGCATTGCATGTTTTGCATGTTAAGCTAGTACCATATCTCCATATGTACCTAAAAAAAATAATAAAAAAAATTATTTGATATTACCATCCCTAATCGTGTCCGTCTATAATTTGACAAATGTGACCTGGATTTATGTGTCATGGGATGAGAATGTATTTACTCCCTCGTTTTTAAATACTAAGCTCCATTTTTCCTGAGCACGTACGTAGGCTGATGTAAATATTTGATCAATTTCATCTTTAAGTATTAATAAGTATAAATTCTAACAATTGAAAATTAATAATCCATTCATTTAGACGATTTCAATAAATATCCACAACACTATATTTTTTCTTATGTGTAAATCACAACTATTGAAGCAAGAATTTAAAAACGGATGGAGTAATAAATTAATTTTTTTCCTAAGTTTGTGTGACAAAGGCTGTCAGTAGCAGTCAAGTTTAAGATAAGTAAAATTAGTTTTATTAAACACACCTTAAGATACGTACGGATGTACCGTTGACCAATCTAGCTACTATAGTATTAGTATATGTACATATAAAGAGTACGTCCGTTATTAGTGTACATCAAAAAACCTTGCAACACTAAAGAGAGTAATAATAATGGAGAGAAGGTTGTTTGATGCAGCAAGAGAAGGGAGTGTAACATCCCTTCTAAATTTACTTAAAGAAGATCCAATAATTCTAGATAGAATATCAACTTCAGGAACATATTCAGAAACACCCCTTCACATAGCTGTTATTTTAGGTAACTTTGACTTTGTTAAGGAACTCCTACAAAGAAAGCCAACCCTTGCCACTGAAATTGATTTACACAAATCCACACCACTTCACCTTGCCTCTGCTACCAACAATGTTAAATTGGTAACACTTCTTCTCAGCGTTAGCCCCGGGATCGTGTGCCGAGCTCGGGATGCGTATGGAAGATGTCCTGTTCATGTTGCAGCTATTAAGGGTCGGGTCGAGGTGTTGAAAGAGTTGATGCGAGTTGATTCTGGTGCCGCTCTCCTGCGGACGGACCAGGATGATAGCATTTTACATTTGTGTGTTAAGTTTAATCAATTTGAAGCATTGAAGGTGTTAATTGAAAGAATAAATGATAATGTGCTCCTTAATTGTGGGGATTGTGATGGCAATACCATCCTACATCTTTCGGTTCTTAACCAACAATCCGAGGTATGCTTGTTTTATGTTACAAGTATTTAAAAAATTGCTTTGTTCAAGTTGATCATTTTATCTTATAAGAACTCGTTCTCTTCAACTTAGTTCAAATATCGCTACTTATTCTTGTCTAATCATGTTAAATTAAAAGTGATAAATTTTTTTAATTCTAGTTACTTATTAGTACTAATTATCTTTAATTGTGTGGTTTAGGGCCTGTTCATATTTACTTATTTTCAGTTCAGTTCAGCTCCAATCAGTTCAGTTCAGTTCAGCTCTAATCAGTTCAGTTCAGTTTTATGCATTTTAATTTTTCAGTTCAATTCAGCTCCAATCAGTTCATTTCAGTTCAGCTCCAATTAGTTCAGTTCAGTTCAGCTCAGTAAATATGAACAGGCCCTTAAAAGTACACAATAAGATTTACCTATATAACAAGATCCATTTTAACAAGGTTTTTATTTTTATTTTTATTTTTTTATTGTAAAAAATGTAGTCAGCGTTTAATCAGATCAGTGGCTACCAAAATCTTAACTTTTAAAATATGTCGGTAGTAAAAAAAAAATGGATAGGTACCAAAAATTAAAATAGGGTACAAATTATTTAGGAGAGAATAGTTTTAATTGTATTGATGATCTTGGCTAATATTTATAGCCTACATAAGATAACCTACACAATATAAACTCTATCATATAAACTTCCATAAATCTATTTTAGAATATCACTAAGATATATTATTATCCTAAATATAATATCATAAGATATATATGGAAAATATATCACAATAATATATTTTCCTATATTCCCAACACCCTCCCGCAATCGTAACGGCAATAACACGAACGTTATGGTTGGAAATTCGCACTTTGTTGAAGTTGATCGAGTTGCACTACTCTGTTGATGTCGGCTTCAATTTTTTTTTATTTAAAAAAAAAAGAACTTTTGCTACCACGACCCTTTGCTGGTGTCCATGGTCTTCTGTCACGGCCCTTTGCTGGTGTCCGTGGTCTTTTGTCACGGCCCTTTGCTGGTGTCCGTGGTCTTCTTTGCCACGGCCCTTTGCTGGTGTCCGTAATCTTCTTTGCCACGACCCTTTGCTGGTGTCTGTGATCTTCTTTGCCAGGCCCTTTGTTGGTGTCCGTGTTCTTTTGCAATTTTTTTTTTTAAATAATAAATAATACGCCAAACGTGGCTTTTCTTCATCTCCTTGGAGATGCAATTATGGAGGAAGCACACTCAAACACTACAACCTAACCAAATCACATATGACCATTCATATTGATCACGTATCACATGGTTATTCCAAAAAAAAAAGATTAAATAAAAAAAAAATAGAAATTTCAAAGAGCAATACTATTGCATAGCGGAAGCAAATTTATGAATCCCACCGGTGGGTTTAATATTCTAACCCACCGGCAGGGAGAGAATTTGTGTGAACGGTCCCAAGATTTAACCTGCTCTTGATACCATGACAAATTATTTATGAGAGAATAGTTTTAATTGTATTGATAATCTTGGCTAATATTTATAGCCTACATAAGATAACCTACACAATATAAACTCTATCATATAAACTTCCATAAATCTATCTTAGAATATCACTAAGATATATTATTATCCTAAATATAATATCATAAGATATATATGGAAAATATATCACAATAATATATTTTCCTATATTCCCAACATTTAATGGTACCAAAAGTAAAAATTTCTTAATTTTAATACATACGAAGTAGTATTTAACTAAACATTCAGCTTTATATACTAACTTTAAAATAAAAGTTTTCAAATATAGTGTACTTTTTAAAATGAAATTTAAAAATAAAAATTATATTTCCAAGCTTAATCTCAATTCATTTTATTCTATTTGATATTATTTTTGCAAAAGAAAATAGAAAAATAAGTTTAGATCAGATTATTGTTTTTTTATGTGCAGTTATTTATAGCTAAATATCTTTAATTTCATAATAAAAAATTATGAAAATTACATATTATTAAAATACACATTATTACCTTGTCACAAAAAAAATACACATTATTACGATTTTAATTTAACAAAATCCCACTTAATATATGTTTCTTTATAGATAATCGCACACTTAAGGTCAAATTTTGATCAAATCAGACAATCAGATTAGATAAGAAAAAACAAGATGAACTAAAAGCAAGCCCTAAATTAATTGAAACGTACAAATCATTGGAGTTGTATTTCTTTTAATAACATTATGTTTTCCTTATTTCTTTTCATATGATCTAACCTAAACTGATTTTAATCTAGTATTATTTGGTTTGAACTTATATCTTTTTACGGAGTAATTTGGTTTGATTTTTTTTTTGTTTGTTTATAAGTTATAAATTCTTTATTTAAATCTAATCAGGTCTGATGACCTACGCTTATATTATTAGATCTAATTAGATTTGATTTTCATAAATTGAAGAAGATAAATACAAAAGTTGAAAAATGACTTTTAGTTTTTATATATATACAAGATTACAAGCAAGTAGTAGAAATTATACCTCGATAATCAAATCATAAATACATACTCGTATGTAATCTATTACATATTACCAAAGGCGAAATTAATAGGGACACTTGGTAGCATACTATTAAATTTTTTCCTCCAATAATACTTGCTAAAAATAAATCATCTTCCACAATAATCCTTGCTTTAAAAAATTATAACTTCTAAAAAAGGATTGCATCCAATATATTACATTTGCTTTATATAAAATATAAAACAAACTTTCTAAAATATTAAATTGTTTAATATAATTTTATGTGTAGCCTAAAAAAATATTGTTTTTAATAATCGTTGAATAACCGTGCAATATCACGAGGTTTAACTTAGTTTAGTAAATTAAAAATGATTCAACATTAACCAAGAATATAAAAAAAAAAGGTTTGTTTAACAAAAAAACACGAGAGTGAGGGATAGCTCAAGTGGTTAGAGCTCCCCTCTCGATTCCAAGAGATCTTGTGATCGATTCTTATTATCCGCCCTTGTGGCTCTCTAAACACAAAAAAAAGTACAAAAAAAATACTAATTATTACTTAACACTAGTTATTCTCTTTATATTTCAACCTAGAAAATATAATATATTTTGATCAATTACATACTAAAAATAATATCATTTCATTATAATAGTTATTTATGAAAAAAAATAAAGGAATATATTTTTAAAAGGCTAATTACTAAATTACATGATAGTACAATTTATAATCTAATTTATTAAGTTCTTTAAGTTTAATCATGTAACCTAATATATTTATTAAAAACGAAATAATGAAATTTCAACAAATCATTAGATTTTTTAAAGGATCAACAAATTATTAGATTTTTAAAATTAAAACAACAAAGTTTTTTCTTGATAAAAACAAGAGTAAAACAACATAACTAAAGGAATTGTAGTTAATGTATGTAATATCCAATTGGTAAAAAATATTCACCTCTTACAATTTATTCTTTTTATCATGGCAAATTGGCATCAAATTAAATCAGGATTCAATTAACAATAATAGTCCTACTAATGAGCATATAATTATACAGGGTAAAGTAGTTAGGTTATAGATTGTACCTTCAAAAGCTTATCCTAATAAAACTAACTTCTTTGAAAATGGTGTTATTAGACGCAAATTAAAGGTGATTTTTATACAATTCTATGTTTTTTCTACTTTGAAAATAACAACCTTAAGATATTATTGTATGAATCTAATGGTGCATAACACCCATAAGCTATATTTAATTAATGTATAATTTGTTTTGGAGTTACCGTGCATGACACGGGTTCTAAATTAGTAAAGGGAAATTCCCTGTTTCTCATGGTGAGAAATGAAATTTGTTTCTGATGGGGTCATTTTTGTTAATAAATCAACATTTTTTTCATTATGAGAAACTGGGGCATATGTCAAGTGCGTGGTTACATCAATTACTTTACCTGTTACGAATCTCTCTACTCCGACTCAAAACATATTCTGTATTTTGTAATGTGTACAAAAATGTTAGCAGGCAGTCAACTATCTACTTCAAATCCAAACCATAGAAGTGAACGCAAAGAATGGTGCAGGGCAAACAGCAATGGACATCTTATTCAAGGGCGTAGGAGGTATGATTGGACGCACCCTTCATAATGCTGGAGCCGTAATTACAAATTCTAACAGCCTTCCATCACCTTCGCTTCCTGAAAACAACGGCGGTATGAGGAAGAATTTTTTGCTCAAGTACTTGCAGGACAAACAAGAAGCTGTAATGGTTGCAGCATCATTGATAGCAGCCGCCGCCTTTCAAGCCGGTGTCAATCCTCCTGGAGGCATTTACCAAGAGACTATAAATGATGATAAGCAGCAAGTAATGGACAAGCATAAAGCAGGCACATCCATCATGGCATACAGTGCCCCGGGGCTTTACACGTTGTTCATTGTTGAAAACACGGTCGGGTTCATAGCTGCTTTGTCTGTGTTCCTGTTGCTTCTTACAGGGTTGCCTCAAAAACACAGGTTCTTTAAAGGGCTATTTATGGTGTCGATTTGGATGGCTATTGTTGCGATTGCAGCGAGTTACGTGTCTTCTATAATAACGCTTGCTCCTCCTGATGAACAAGTTAAGGTCGTTGCATTTTCTATTGCAGTGTTAGTCATTGCTGTATTGTTGTGGATTTTGATTGTTTTGTGGTATGGTGGTTTTGGTCCTCGCATAGTTGGGATTATTCACCAGAGGCGTGCCTCGAAAAATGGACCGATGACCCGAGCGGGTAGTCTCCTTGGGGGTGCAACAACTGGTGGTACTGGCAGTGTGTAATCATCCTGCTATGTTGAAGTTCATTTGTGATTTGAATGTTATGCAGAGTGGAAAACTTTACTACGTACAGTTTACTCTGAATATCTGAGAGTGTTGTGTATTTTGTTCTTGAAATGTTGTTTTCCAAAATTGTAGTGTGCTTATAAAAATTGTGACTTGGTTGGGGAAGTTGGTCCATCACTACTAAGTTTAATTTCTATGTTTACTAATGATTTGAATTTAAGCAATTTAATCATTCTACTGACTTTTGGGCATGTACAACGTTTTCTTTTTCACTCTGTTCAATTCGTACTCTCTTCATAGACTTTGGTTCATTCTCGAATTGCAAATTTGCAACGACTAGAATTGAATTGCATTGAAATTTTGTGGCAACTTCGTTAGACCAATCTCATTCATTGGCAAAAAAAAAATTCTCTCTCTACCTACTTTTTCACTCTACTTTCCCACTTTTTCTCATAGGCATTTTTTTAACAACTCTTCATACATTTTTGGGCTTAAAAAAAATTACCACTAACATTTTTCTCTCTACCATTTCCGACAATTGACAATCTCTTCATATGCATTTTATTTTTGCTCATGAGTGGGATGTCATTTTAACCATTTTTACCATGATATTTTTCTAATGGGCATTTTTTTGCCCATGAGTGAGAGTGCTCTTAACCGTTAAGTATATAATAAACCAAGACAATATATGAATTTATGATGGTTTTACAAATAGTTACAATAATTTTGTAGCCATTATTTAAACGCGAACAATTAATAGAACTATTGTATCACTATTGATTTAGAAAAAATTTGCAAGAATAATCTCAACTACAGTAAGTACTACTTCGTATGAGACTATGAGGTATGTACTTCGTATAATCTAAACTTTTGGGTAGATCTTCCTTCATTACTCTATGTGACTGGTGATTGAATTAGGGCTGATAATTCCTGACCCGACACGATAACCCGATCCGAAGTTATTGAGAGAAACCCAAACAATTCGATTTGACCCAAATTTCATATTTCATAATAATATTAAGTTTTACACTATTTTTATAGTTTCTAAACACAACCCGAGATCTGACACGAATTGCCACCCCTTCATGGGATGTTAAAGGAAAAAAAAAGTGGGTAGGTTGTGGGTATTTGATTTTCCCTCCAAAATTATTTACATATGTGGAATATAAACAAAATATAAATAAACAGTTATATTACTTGTAATTAACCTGTCAATCTGTCATCTACCCAGTGTACAATGTGAAAAAAAAAATATTCTATTTGCTTCAACAAATTTCCCATTCTGTGATCTACAATTCTGCAATTCAAATATTTCAAAGGTTAGTTTATAATTTCGATTTACCTTTCTACAATTAGTTGTTGAATTTGAATTGTTGGTTGCTTTAGGTTGATTTTTTTTTTTTAAAGGTTTGTAGTTGTTGATGATGAATGTTTTTAATTTGTTTGTTGCTAAAATTGCCAAAAAAAAAAAAAAAAAAAAAGCGCATAAAATTTGAAATCATTTCTGAGTGCCCATAACCTGTTCGATAAAACGCCTAGCTGAATTTAACATGATAGTTTGTCTATGTTAATGGAGTTTAATAATATAAAATTTGTTCTTGCATTTATACAAAACTATAGATGGTAGCATGTTATTGCTTATAGAATATGATCAGAACCAGAAATGCCTGATTCCATCTAGTTTGTCGAATTCGGCTCGTTTTTTTTACCCCCTGATACACTCAAATGAAGGGAAAGCATAAGATAAAGGGAAGATACAGAACCTAGTAAGAAAAAACAAATTTGATATCCTAGTGAATGGCTGACATTGTAGGCTATTATTTGAATGTAATGTTGCCATTGGAGGAAGAATATAGGAGAGACGAAGCAGAAAAGCTCGTATTATTGCTTCGAGTGTATAATTGTTGTTGCATTGCTGTAGATGGTCCTCCTTTGGAGCTGTTGGTATTGCTTGTTTGTTGGTCTTTTGACATTGGTGATCCTTTGAGTACAGTGTCAGCTTTTGTGCAATCTGCTTCTCTGTCTTGTCGTATTTCTTTGAGCATGGCTGCTACGTCTTTCATGGTGGGGCGGTCATTAGGGGTGGGTGTTACACAGAGTAATGCCACTCCTATTGTCTGCATCATTTCCTCGACTTCTGGTTCTGATCTTCCCTTTAACTGTTGGTCTATTACGTCTGCACCTCCTTTTCTTAGCCTCACCCATTCTACAATATGTAGACCGTCGGGTATGGTTGGGTCAATTGGTTGCTTCCCTGTTAATACTTCTAACATGACTACTCCAAAACTATACACGTCACTCTTCTCTGTAACCTTCATCATGTAGCCATACTCTGCACATTACACAAAAAATTTTGAGTTTAATATGGAACTAGTATATTGAAGGTAGAATGGTTGATTATGTAGAAACATGAATGTAAGGAAGAGATATGCTTACCTGGTGCCATGTATCCATAGGAACCGGCAACAGTGCTGGAAGACCGAGCAAAATCCCCATCATCGACAAGCTTGGCTAGGCCGAAGTCAGCAATGTAGGGCTCAAAATCAAGGCCTATTAGAATGTTGTTGACTTTGATATCCCTATGAACTATAGGAGGAACACAATCATGATGCATATAAGCTAATCCTTGAGCTGCCCCTAGGATGATCTTGTACCTTAGATCCCAGTCCAAGCAACTTCCACTCCTTTCATGTAGAAGACTCCCTAAGCTTCCATTAGGCATGTAATCATACATAAGCAACCTTGTATTCTTGTTCCAGCAACAGCCCAAGAACCTAACTATGTTTTTGTGACGAATGGAACCAAGAGTCTTTACCTCACCTGAAAAGGAATCGCGTCCATTGTCCTTAAATCTGTCTTTATGACAATCCTGTTTGGCTCCCATTGTTGCTGGCCATAGCTTCTTTACTGCAATCAGCTCTCCATTTTCCATTTCTGCTCGATAAACTATCCCTGAACATCCTTTTCCAATGATATTACTCTCCACCAGGCTCTTCAGAACATCATCAAGTGCAAAATTTAGCTTTTGGAAAGGAGTGAATTGCCATGGCCAGGCATTCATCCCAATCTCAGACTCACTGTCATCTTTAATCATTTTCCTTGCCCTAGCAACTGCAACGACACCTAGAGCCACCAGTATGACTGTCAGAGCTACCAATAACCCGATTGCCAATTTCAATTTCTTTGACTGCCTACTATGCCCCGTATCTGATCCAATGCCATCACCTACAAAGCATGAATCATGATTTTGTGAGCACAATCCTTGATTTCCTTCCAACTCCTTAGACGATAGCTGTCGAAATAGCTTGTTATCTGGTAGAAAACCTGTGAAATTGTTGTAAGATACATTCAGAGACACCAGATTATCCAACGCAGAGAGCTGCATCAGACTGCCTTCAAGCCTGTTGTGAGACATGTCAAGAATGTTCAGCTTCTTTAGGGAAGAAATCTGCGGGGGTATAACACCTGAAAGATTGTTACAGCTCAAATTTAAGGCTATATCAAGGTCTTGAATTTGGAAAAGCTCCTGTGGGATCCTTCCTGAAAATCCGTTGCTGCTTAAATCTATCAGTTGAAGCTCCAAACAGCTTCCAAGGGATGATGGGATTGATCCAGAGAGAGAATTTCCTCTAAGGATGAGTGAATTGATTGAATCTAGCTGGCCAAAACCATCTGGAATTGGACCTGTAAGTTGGTTATATGACAGATCCAGAGCTTGAAGCTTACTCAGAGATGACAGTGCGTCAGGAATTGATCCCCTGATTGTATTATTGCTCAGATTCAGCATCTGCAACTCTTTGCACTTGCTTATCTCTTCTGGAACCGACCCAGAAAGGCGGTTATAAGATAAATCAAGAAAACTAAGACTTCCAAGGAAACCTATTTCTTTTGGAATTTCCCCAATGATCCTATTGTTAAAAAGGCGGAGGCGAACGAGGGACTTGCAATTCCCAATCTCAGGTGGGATTGAACCTGAAATGTGATTGGAAATCAGCAGCAGCTTCGTGAGGTTTTGAAGCTGAAACAGACCAGAGGGCAAGCTACCAGTGAGTGAGTTGTGTGACAAATCTAAAGCTTGGAGGCTGCTACAATTAGCCAATGCAGAAGGAATGCTCCCCTCAAGCCTATTCTGCCAGGCAAATAGGATTTGCAGCCCACTTAACCTTCCTAGCTCGGCCGGGACAGAGCCTGTTATCTGATTATTATCAACCTGCAATTGTACTAGATTTGCAGCATTTGAAAGAACTGATGGAATTGAGCCAGAAATGTTATTACTACTCAACATTATCTCTAGGAGGTTAGGTAGGTTCCCAAATGATAAAGGTATAGTCCCAGATAGAGTATTCAATGAAAGATCAATAATTACCAAGCTTGAGATATTCCCAATCTCTTCAGGAATTGCACCAGACAAATTATTCTGCCAAAGCAGTAACTTCTCTAGCTTTTCAAGCCTACCTAATTCTTTAGGGATTGACCCAGAAAGACTATTTTGATAGAGATACAAGTTCACAAGCTCAGAGCAGTTACCTAGTTCTGGTGGGATCTCCCCTGACAGCATTGTAGTATAAACTGCAATGGTGTCTAGTTTCCTCAGCTGGCCCAGTGACCTTGGAAGCGACCCCGAAATCTTTGTATCAGCCAACCCAAGCACTGTCAAATTCTGGCATTGCCCTAGCTCTTCTGGTATCGGTCCAGAGATATCCTTATTTCCGCCTGCCCTCAACGCCTGCAGATTTATGAGTCTGCCAAGCTCAACTGGGAGCTCACCATTGAAGTTGTTATCAAAGAGCGAAAGATTTTCTAGGCTAATACAGTCACCTAACTCAGCTGGGATTTTTCCAGTGAGCTGGTTGGAGTTCAGAGTCAAATCTTGCAGGTTCTTAAGCTTCCCGATTGTACGAGGGATGTAGCCGACTAACCCATTCGAGCTGAGATCAAGTAATGTCAGCTGCAGGCTATCCCCTACGCTTTCTGGGATTGAACCAGTGAGATTACAACTAGAAATGGTCAGTTTCTGAAGGTGGCTAAGGGTTGAGATATTTGAAGGGAAAGGTAAAGCTAACTGTATTGACTGAATGTTTATTTCAGAAACAAAGTAGTCAGAAGTGCAAGTAATAAAAGACCATTTACAAGGGTTTTGGTCCAAAGGGTTCCAGCTTGAGAAAGCAGAAGGCGGTGAAGGTTGGGAAGAGCTATGAAGCCATGAATGTAGGAAGAGAACTTCATTGTTTGTGTATGCAAAAGATGTGGGGAAGAAAAATAAAGAGAGAGAAAGAGTTAGGATAAGATGAAGATGGACGTGGCGGCGGATACGGTGTTGTTTGTGGTGGGGCTTGAAGGGTTGCCTTGGCATCGGCGCTGGCATCGGCATTGGCATTGACACTGGCCTCAAACCCCACATTTCTCTTCTAGTTTTTGCATTGGTTTTCACTCTCTTTCTCTAGGGCAACTGCTTACTCATCAGTTTAAGATTACAATGCTTTCAAACCAAGCAAGCAAAAAAGAGTGTATAAAAAATCTTAGGTGATGAAAAATTATGAGTTTGTTTAGTTAATAGCCCACCAGCTTTCACCTCGGGGTTCTGTGTTTTGTGTCTGTCTTCCTAATATTGATTTAGGATTATGGGTAATTTTTTATACTAAGGTTTTAAGTTTGAATTGAATAGCTTTTGTAGCCATGCAACCCCATGTGTTCATGCATTGTTTTCCTCAAAATAAGGTCAGTGTAGTAAATTAGTGATGGGCTGTGGTTTAGCTTGGATAATCGAGCCTCTAATCTATAGTCACTAATGTTAATTATTGGTGCTGTTCTTTATTTTCTTATTGTTAATTACAATTAGCATTGCGCGTCGCGAGACTCCTAATCCTATGCCTCCTAATCTTGTGGTTTTTTTCCTCTTGTCTTTATGAGTTTGTGTATCATATTGTAGGTGACAAACAAGAAGGTGAAAATAGAAAATTAAAGAATTAACATATGTGTTTGTTTGTGTCCCAGGTTTATGTTCTTCACTATGTCTAAATGTGATGCTTATTTGCTGCTTCATCTGAATAACTCACGTTGGAATCCATCCTTGATTAATTTTTCTATTTGAAGAAGATAACTTATGTTAATGTATTTTGTCCCGGTGTTTAAGGTTTTCAACACTTAGACCTTTTAACATCTCGCCCATTCATAGTGGCGGATCCAATATAGGTACATGGGATAGGAATGTGATCGTACAGTTGTATCCCACTTTTATTAATGTTTGTGTTTCCTTTATGAAAAATCTTAAATTTGCCATTGTCCATACGTTGTTGCTTCATGTATGCACCTCTCCACACGGCCACACCTCACCTAGATGCCCAAGCACATATCGTTGTTATTTCGAACTGTTAATCATTTCACTGCATCTTGATTAGCTTGTTAGTTGTTCATTTAAGGCTTAGGGTTTAGTAAAAGCACATTACACTGCTCAATGCCACAAGGAGTAAAGCTTAAAGTTCTGATAGTCTATCAAAGTATACTATTATCAGTAAACTTTAGTGGACTAAATTGCTTTAACCTTGCTTCCTCCTCTAAACTCTTACTATTAGTTTAAAGCAAAGACAAAACAAACATATACTTGTACTTCAGCATATTTGAATAGTTTGTTATTCACATTAAGATGATTTGAAATTGTATAGCTCATACTCTTTTTTTACCCTTATTTTCTGGTAAAATGAGCATCATTTGGTTCCTTGATTTCAGCATATTGTTCCACCACAATTAATATAAATCCAAATTAAAGAAAAAAATATACCCTTGAAATGCAAAGTTTTCAACAACTCCACCTCATGTTTTGGCCCCTCCTTTTTCTTCAGTTTTTCAACAATTTCCTTTAGAAGAATTGTGAGATAAGAATTCTTCGATCTTTATCACTAGACCAAGTAAAAAATGGTGTTATGATGTATATTTTGTGTAGGGCAATGATATTATGTCATATGACCATTAGAATTTCCAATATGCTGTAAGGCAATGATATTAGACTAATACGGAATACAAACCAATACTTAATATCACACCGCTAATTTTAAGACTTTATCAACTAAGCTAATTTACGTTTATAATATTGTATTTCACATTACTCATTAGCCAGGCAAAAGTAAGTTTGTGGAGTAACACATACTTTTACCTCTCATCACAGTTAATTTTTTTTTTTTTTTTTAATTTTTTTTTTTTAAAATATACAAATAGTACTAAGAATCAAAATTAGCAGCGAAGTCCCGTAGTAGTATAATTCAATATGTCCAGACCTGTACAGTATCTTTTGTTTTTCAACTAATTAATTAATTATATATTATCAATTAATTTAATCGATTTTTATCATTAGCCATATCTAAGGCACATGTTCAGCTCTATGATAATCACACAAAACGAAGTGTCAAATACTTTCGTTGCTTGCTTTTGTCAAAGTCAACATAGATTAGCATTTGCCATATATTCATATAATAATGGGTTTTAAATTTTACACTATAAAAAATATCTTTCAAAAGGCTTATACTCGACCTTGTCCTACAAGGCTAAAAATCAAATAAATATATACTCTTTATTGTGCGTATAATTTATACTCAATAGCTCAAGCTAAAAATGTTCATGTTAATCTAGTAATGATAAGAAAATGGATTTTGGAGGGGCAAAAAAACTCAAAACACATAAAACAAGCATAGGTATACAAATACAAATTTTATCTTATACTCCCTACTTTACTTTGACTACACATGAGAGTTAAATCTGGTTGAAAAACAACTTTTTAAAATCTATTGAAAAAGGTCGAGATAATATGTTGTTCATAATACATGGAGATATATAATTACATTGAACGACAAACTTTTGACGTTTGAAAACATAATGATGTAACTTCATGTTAATGATACAAGAGTGAATACATAATCAAATTTTACATGTTCTATCATTTGGACATTTGGTGGAGAAGGTGATGTTTGTTGGGAAGTTTTGAGTAATAAATTTTGGATGCATATTCTCAAATTCCTGAATTTAGGGCATTACATGTGATATAATGACATCATAACAAAATAAATAAACAATATATATGAGGTTGGAGCCTAAAATAAGGCAAGTATGCATGTCATAATTAATTTGCATCTCAAAAATTAAGGTTGGCTTCACAAACACTACTCAATGAGTTAGTTTTAGGGGACAAACAAATGAGTGAGTAGTGGGGATGACAATGGGTGTAATTAAACACTAAAGGTAGGTATTAGTACGACTTAGCAGTTTTCTTATGGTATAAATATATAGCCCAAAAATCAAGGTCATAACCTCGGGAATTTCTATGTTAATGGAATCTCGCCACGTTTGTTTCTCAAACTTGTACTAATTGTGGCATATTTTCCTCTTCAACTTGTTAAAATTGTGGAAAGTGGTCCAAGTAAAAGTTACAATGGGCCAAATTCCAATTCTTAAGTCATTTATGGTTTTATTTTTGGGTAGAGATTTGGGCCTAATCTGATCCGAGTATTAAAAGAAAAAATTTGCAATAAGTTTTATATAAGGTGGATTTCCGTTAATTTTATTAAAAGAGGATTAATGTGAGGATAACTTTAATAGATCTTATCATAATCTTGATTCCTTTATGTTATGTTTGGATAACAAATTAGAAGGGAAATGGAAGGGAGGGAAATAGGAGGAAGGGGAAGTGGAGGAAATGATGAGCTCCATTTTCCCTCCAAATCTCTCCAATTTTGAAGGGATGGTCTTTATTAAAGGAGGAGGGAAAATGGATCCCTCCCTCCCCCTCCCCTTCCCTTCCCCAACATATTATCCAAACAAGGAACTTTGTCTCCCTCCCTTTCTCTTCCTTTCCTTTCCTTCCATTTTTTGTTATCCAAACATAACCTTAATGATTACTTTTAAATTATAATGAGTTTAATTGTATTTTAATATATATACTAGATGAAACCCGTGCGATGCACAGTTTGTTAGTGTTTTTTACAAAAATATTTTTCATATTTATGTGATTAAAATTGTTATTATATTAGTTTTAAAATATTAGATAAAATTCCTAATCTCAAAAGATAATATTTTGTATTTAATTAATTTAAACATTAAAATATCATTCGTCAATTTTGCTTACGTGGCATTTGAATTATTTAATTGTAAAAGAAATTAATAATCTCTTATTTAATTGGCTATAATTTAAATTTATAATCCTACGTGGCGTGCTAAGAAAATTAAATGCTACGTAGCTCTCTAAAAACTCGGGAAAAAACTCCCCTTTAAATATATATATTAGATTTTTTTTTATGTATACATGTATGATGTTATAAATGTTAATGTGATTAATCTAATTATACTCATAATTTTTTTTTATGGTAAAATTAGTATTAAGAAAATGATAATTTTATAGTATAAGGATAGCTTTAACATTTAAGGCCAATTTGATTAGAAATTGATCAAAATTTGATTAAATGTTCTCTTAATCACAATTATATGGCACATCAACACATGTGAATATGTGATTTCATTAATACCATAGCTCAATCTTCTAGAAATTTGTATAGGCTCCTATCCATCCTTCCTTGTCGAAGTTATTGTCCTATAAAATGGCCTCCTTTTGGAGTGGTATTTTTGATATTTTTATTGAAGGCAATAACCTAACTGTTATTAATATTTTGCAAGGTCATTTCAGTTGTCCATAGAAACTTCAGCTTCTTATGGCGGATGTCAATGCTATCTTAGGATCTGTTCTCATTGACTGAATTGACTGAACTGAAATGAATTGAGCTGAACTGAACTGAACTGAGCTGAATTGAACTTAACTAGATATTTTATAAGAGAAGGAAATTAGGAGCTAAACTGAATTGAACTGAGCTGAACTGAACTAGACTGAACTGAACTGAATTTCAACGTAAGAGAACATGCCCTTAGATTCTTTTTCGAGCTTTCTAGCAAGACACATCTATCGGGAAGGAAATCAGGCGGCAGACTATGTTGCCTCTCTCAGCTACTCGACTCCGACTAATCAAGATATAAACCCTTTCTTAGGTAGCAAATTTTCTTATTTTTTACTCTGGATATTTAAGTGAGAAGATTTAACTAAACTCCTCATTGTATCTTACTCCTAAAAAAAAAAAAAGTATTACACATATATCTGTTATGGAGTTATGGTTCTTCTACACCATAAAATATTTTACAAATGAGTATCTCATTTCTAATGTGTGGATATTTCAAATTTAATACGAGATTTATCCTGAAAATATAAACAAGACTTACTCTGACTCGTACATTCTGAAATATTAGGTTGAGAATCTTGAGAAGGCATCAATCTGCTCATAAATACTCTTCAAGATTTTGATTAAATAATCAATATTACAATATTATTTGAAATTTAAGTTATTTAGGAACTCATCTTGTATGAATTATGTCATATTGGCATGCTATTAGAATATTATACTATACATTTGCAATCAATTCCCAATGCAGTTTTATACTTCGTTTTTTTTTTTTTTTTTTTTTTTTTTGTGTTCCCACCCAATTCACCCTTTGGCCTAATTCGGATGAGACTCGATTCTGAATGATTATGTTTCAATCCCCTTCCAATGCCATTTGATTGTATATACTCATTACCCTTTTTTATACTCGTCAAAAAACCCTTCTTTCTGTCATGTTGTGTTATGACTTACCTTAGTATTATATGTTTATGTTGTGAGGCAAGTCTAGGCTCTTTGGACTCTTGAACTTTACATATTGGTTGTGGCCAATTCATGAATCTGGTTATCTTGTAAACTACAAGCATAGCAACGACTTTCATTGTTGCTAAAAATAGGAGTAATAAAAAATGCCATCAGTTCAACACATGACACTAAAAAATGCTATCTGAGGTTTAAAAAACTGCAACATGGTCAGTTTATGCGATCAAGATAAGACCATCAAAGTTAACTCATTAACATGATATGGAGATTAGAACTAAACAAAATATGAATCATGTTGTAGACCTTTGCTCAAAACATTGTATTTATTCGTGCAGGAAAAACCGCCATCAACTATTAGCAAATGAGCAAGGGAATATCATAGGCAAGCATATCCTCAATTGTTTTAACCAGCTCCAGCTTCGGCTTCAATTTCTTCAATTTGTTAAAATCATATTCGTGATTGAGAACTTCTTTATACCTGTCCACACGAGGAAGATCTTCCAATGGTATTCCATACTTCTTTGAGACCTGTTTCGCAAAGTTGATGATATGCGAGGAGGTAGCATTGAAGAGAAATCAAAATCAAAAGAACAAAGTTAAGGATTTTGACTTGG